AAGGCCCAACGTCAAAACACGGGGATGTATACTCCTCTACCTGTTCCTCATACTCCTTGGCGTGACCTTAGTATGGATTTTGTCCTAGGATTGCCTAAAACTGCAAGAGGTCATGATTCCATTTTTGTTGTCGTGGATAGATTCTCCAAGATGGCCCATTTCATTCCATGTTCCAAGTCTACTGATGCATCATATATCACTAAGTTATTCTTCAAAGAGGTTGTTCGCCTGCACGGACTGCCAATCACTATTGTTTCTGATAGAGATGTTAAGTTTGTTAGTTACTTTTGGAAAACTCTATGGAAATTGTTTGGGAAAACTCTTAAGTTCTCATCAGCATTCCAACCCCAAACAGATGGTCAAACAGAAGTAGTAAATCGTAGTTTAGGTAATTGGCTTCGTTGTTTAGTTGGGGACAAACCAGGTAATTGGGATTTGGTATTGTCTACCGCTGAATTTGCATACAATAATTATGTTAATAGGTCTACTGGTCATAGCCCATTTGAGATTGTTCAAGGTTTTTCCCCACGACAACCACTGGACCTCGTTCCGTTACCTACTGATTTTCGTCCTACTGCATCTGCACAATCTTTCGCTGATCATATTCGCACCTTACATGAAGAGATTAAAAGAAAAATTGTTTTAAGCAATGACCACTATAAACTAACAGCTGATGCACATCGTAGGCATAAAGAGTTTGAGATTGGCGATTTTGTTATGATAAGACTTGCACCTAAACGTTTTCCAAAACATGCTGCAAAAAAATTTTGTGCTAGATCACTTGGCCCTTTCCCTGTTATTAAAAGGCTTGGAACTAATGCTTATCTACTTGATTTGCCAACGCACTTAAATATTAGTCCAGTTTTCAATATAGCAGATTTATATCCTTATCGAGGCACATTCGAGCCTTCGATTTTGTCTTCGAACATGTCTGCTGGACAAGTTTCTCAACCGCTCCCTCGAGCCCCCATTACCACATTTTCACATCAGGATATTGTTGATGAGGTGCTCGACGATGAGATCATTGCATCCCAAAATGGGGGTTTTCGTACGCTTCTTGTGCGTTGGAAAGATCGTCCGCTTAGTGATGCTACGTGGATTAACGAAGAAGAATTTCGTCAATTGGATCCAAAGCTTTTGGATGCTTACTTGGACTATACCTCGCCGAAGTCAAGTTCTTTTCAGCCGGGGAAGAATGATGCAACAAGGAAACAATTAAAAGTCTATTCAAGGCGATAGACTAATAATCAGTAGAATTCTAGTATATCTAAATTATAATAGTTTTATTTTGACAATGTTATCTTTTATTTTCAAGTTTCTTTAGATAAGAAGTTTATTTAATTTCAAAGTCCTTCTCTATATAAAGGGGCTTAGGACAATGTTTAGAAACACTTGCATTATATGAATAAGATTATTTCTTTTGCCCTCAATTCTTCCCTGTGATTCCCCTTTCTTCTTATTATTCTTTATTAATTTGTGTGTTCCTACATCACTTATATTGTTAACCACTTCGTTAACGTGTTTAGACCGTGTTTGAAAATAGTTTAAGCAATAAATTGTTATTAAGGCAGGAATTTCCCCTCCAACAATCTTCACCAGCACTCCAAACTTCAATTTCAGCAAAAATTCATTGAATATCACTCCAAATAGTATTCAAATAAGCATATTTTGATGTATATAAATTACAATAACGGCGAAAAACAAAAAGATCAATAAGTTCATAAATCCCTGTACTCAAAACGGACTATACAAGTGAATAAATTTCAGGGAAAAATAATAATAATAAAGATATTTTAAACCAAAATTTGTTGGCCTAGAAAATATATAAAATCATCACTTTCTCTAATAATCTCATAGTTTTACAGAAATCGAATAACAACACGAAACGAGCATATAAATATATGTAGAAATCGATTTTTTGGATTTCTAACACAATTTAAATTTAATTTACCCTCCAACGCAGTGTTTAAAAATCTTCTCGGCATTCTCGCACTTACGAATGAATTTCCCCGGCTCAACTTCCTCCGTCCGACACTGAGACGAGACAATCCTTTGGGTGGCGCAGTGGTCTGAGCCGTTCAACTCACCGATGTCACCAGCGGAGGAGGAAAACGGGTCAGATTCATCGTCGTTCTTCCACACCCAACCCATTTTTGCGTTGTGAAATATGCTAAACAGAAATTTTCTAGCAATTTGTGCGTTCATGTAATTTTATGCTTCGTGAACAATCCAGAAACTTTTAAGACGGTGCCTTTTTAGTTTTTACGAGTTAATTGTTTTAATGGGGACTGAATTAGGTCGATATCTCCCATTGCCTCCTAAATTTTAAAATATCAAATTTTGATCAGTGAACTTAGGTTCATATTTTCGATTACTCATTAAAATTTAAAATGTAAAGTTTTAATCATTGAATTTAAAAATATTTAACGATACTCACTAGCATAACTTCCCTCACAATCATCTAACGAAATTAGTGACGTTATTGACAGAATACACACGTGACACTCCATCACACTATTCAACTTTGAAATAGTCGAATTTTGGCTACTACACTTAGAAAAAATGTCTTCTATTGTTCAATTGAATTTTGATCACCAAACTTTGAAAAACGTCAAACTTTAGTTACTAAACTTTGAAAAAGTCTTCTATTGCTCAATATAAATTTGGATTTAACCACACATCTATACAATAAAATACTTTACATGTAAACTCAAAATTTTTTCAAACATCTTAAGCACACATTCTCCAAAAAAAATGCTATTTAAAAACTAGACCATCTCAAAATTTAGTGGCCTAAATTCAACCATCTCAAAGTTCAGTAGCCAAAATTCAATCACCTCAAAGTTTATGATCCAGTTTTTGCCACAAAATTTTAGAAAACGTCTTCTATGGCTCACAATACATTTGGATTCAATTAAAATTCGTTGTTAAAATTAGATTTAATTTTATTTAATAACAAACAAATTCATCATGAGTTTCGTTGTGAAATTCAAATAGGATTATGCTACTTCAACATAATGGATACCATTATGGTGTCCATAATGCCCAACTGACGCCCCCTCCAATAGGAGGTGCCATTTGGGCATTATGGTGTCCATTATATACCCCAAACATGGTCCATTCAAATATTATGATTAAAATAACTTCAAATTCTAAAATAAATAAATAAATAATTTAATTTAATTACCGTGTAATTGTGTAATCATTCCTAGTGATATAGACAATATTTACAAAGCTATGCAAAGGAAGTGATTACTTATTGTAATGAAACAAACAATATATTTATCGTAAAAATTAATTAAATCCGAATTTTTTTAACAACATATTTTAGCCCCTGTTTGATGGTTATTATTTAAAAAAAAGGTTCTATTTTTTGAAAAATGAGTGGTTAAAAATTGAAATTTTTTTAAGTTGACGTGTAAAATATTTTATTGTGTAGATGTGTGGTTAAATCCAAATTTATAGTAAGCAATAAAAGATGTTTTTCAAAGTTTAGTGTCCAAAGTTTGACATTTTCCAAAATCCAACCAGTTCAATGTTCAGTGAGCAATAGAAGTTATTTTTCAAAATTTAATGGCCAAAATTCGACCATCTTAAAGTTTAGCGGTATGATAGAGCACCACGTGTACATTCCATCAGGCACATTACCAATTTCGTTAAGGGTTTAAGACGGAAGTCACGTTAGTAAGTAACGTACAACATTTTTCAAAATTCAGTAGCTAAAACTCGACATTTTAAATTTTAATGAACAATCGAAAATATGGACCTAAGTTCAATAATCAAAATTCGACATTTTAAATTTTAGTGAGTAATCAAAGATATGAATCTAAGTTCAATGACCATTGAAACCATTAACTCCCTTTTTACTCTTGGTATAATATAGTAATTAGGGGTAGTTACAATTTATTCGAGATAAACTCCTCTAAGATTCAGATAATTTTCAATCTAGTCCCTATAGTTTGCCTTTTAATATTAAAAGTAAATTTTTAAGTAAACAGTACACTGCCCACTAGAGACATAACATTCCTCTTCAGTCACAAGTTCTCTACTTCTCAATCTACTGAGAACAAATAGAATTATACCATAATAGTTTACGCATGAATTATAAATTTCACTATTAATCTATGTGCATTAGCTATTCGTGAATGACGAGCATTCATCCTTTATCTTTGCAGATCAATAGAATAGCTTAGGCATGTTACCCTCTACTTTGAGAGTACAATCGCAAAAACAAAACTCAAATTAATTGACAAGGTCTTGAAAAAGCAATGACACGCTATGCAATTCGATATAATGCACAAATATTATCGCTGCTTGACATGTGAACAAACTTGCTCGTGATGGGAAGTTCATACCTGTCTTGTCTTGCAAGGACGATGTTAACTTTGTCGTCCGGATGTTTCATGTTTAGTTAGATCTTGTGTTATTGAGACATAAATAAAATAAAGAGAGTATTTCAAACTGAAGTAAGTGGAGGAGCCGATTTACGCAGCAATGCTACTTGCTGTAAGATAGAAAATATTAATTCATTTGATTAGTAAAGTTTAAAAGAATTGAGGCAAAGAATATTAAACAAGCCCCAAATTTCATTTCAAGTGGACAAGGACAATGAAATGGTATTACTAAAAAGAAGAAAGTAGCGCTTTTTAAGACTTTCTAGCTAAGTTCACTAGAAAAGGATTCGTGAACAAGAGCAATGAAAATGGAATAGCATCTCCATCCCAAAAATTCCCGTACCCCTTTGCTGATTGAGCCAAAATAGACATTTTAGACATGCTTTTAGTTAGACCATGGAGGATAAAAGCTAATCATAAAATAATAAAATTAAATTAAAGAAAAATTTTGAAATAGTGAAAAAATTGAAAAAAAAAATTGAATTTACGTGCAAAATATTTTATTATGTGAATATATAATTAAAAAGGAGCTTGAGAAAAAAAAAAAAAAAGAATTGTGAAAAAATGGAGGACAAAATTTAATTTTTATGTAAACCAAACAAAGCATAATATCACATCCATTGGCAAGACAATGAATCACATTCCTCAACTGAAGCATTTTTACTAGACAACATATTAAAGTGAAACGTGAGTACAAAAACCCAATTACTGTTTAACTAGGCTTACACAAAGTAGAAGTAACTTTTAAATTTATTTCTTACTTTGTTTCGAGAAACCTTCGGATATGTTGCTTTCTTTTTAATTTAAACAAAAAAAAGTTACTAATTTTAAGATCTATTTATCTTATTGTCGAAATAACTTCACTTATTTTCAACTTTAATCTATTTTAAACTCATAAGTAAAGTTTTTTGAGCTTAGCCAAACATGATCGTTGTTGCCTCTGTTAGAGCTTCTTAATGATTTCTTCATTTGCACGTTTGTAGTAAGTCATTCGCTGGATGGAAGCAGTGGCATCTTCATAATTTTTATTCAGAAGCGCATCTTCAAAGGAGTTGCACCAATATTGCATTTTTCCCTGTACCTGCAATTACATTTAAATATGGTTTGAAGTGTCAAGTACAACTATCATACACATAGATAGCTTTCCTAACCCATTCTTAGCTCTGTTAATCGTAAAATACGGAGACAAAGTTTAGTAAGTATCAAAGACTCAAGATGTCCTAGCATATTAACTTCATCATATTTCTAACATGAGCCACTGGAAGGAATATGCAGGCTTTGCTAAAATTAAAAAAATAATAATAAAGGAATTCCTCGGATGCATGTAGTTTTGGATACCACACTCATACCTGAGCTTTGATCTGATTTAATGCTTGGATGCCATCTGCTTCTTCGACAGCTTCCCTCAGCTCCATGATCTGCATTCAAATCCACTCATTACTATCACAGAACATTTTCGTGAAATAGCTACTCAGTAATAAATTATGAATTTGTAATTGTTGAATCACTTGATCTAAAAACTTATGCTGGTGTATGTGGCCAAGTGCAAATTATTTAAATCTTATCTTCAACATGCCTCCTCACGTGAAGACAATTCTCACTTTTTTCTATCAAAGCGTAACATGTACACAATTTCATTAAATAAGTGACGGGACCTTTGCATGCTTTGATACCATGTTGAATCACTTGATTTAAAAGCTTAAGGTATTAGATATGAAGAGATGCATATCATTTAAGTCCTATCTTCAACATGGCCTCAATGATAGAAACATATTATGCTAACATTTTCCATATTAAGTCCATTTATTCAATAAAAGCTTATAGTATAATGCTTCCAATTATGTTTTGAAGTTAGCATATAGTAAAAGCATAACTCTTAACAGCCTTGCATACTTTACCTATCTCATCCACCTCCTTTATCTTGCCATTTCCCTTCCGGAGCCTTCTTTCTCCATCCCCAAAAAAGTCTCGTTATGAACTTTTAAAATATCTATCACAGTACAGAAGCTGGAAAATCATCCTTCTTTATCCCACCATCCTTTCCAAGCCTTCTCTCTTTCTCCATCCCCATTAAGTCTCACTATGATCTTTTCAGATTTTCTATCACAGCGCAGATGGGAAAGAAAAAATAAATAAATAAAGATTTTATTAAATGTAGAGAAGGTTACAAAAGGTCAACAACTCGATTGATTTTTATTCCAGCTAAATGCTACTAGTAAGAATAATGAAAATAATCTACTTGCATTTAGATGAATCCTCCAAGCACCTAGTTAATGAGGCCCAGACAGAATTTTCTTATAATCCAGAAGCACACCAACATGGGGAGATGTACACTTCATAGTGCACCACTAAGAAGTACGGATACAGATACGTAATTTGGATACGGATGCATCAATACAATTTTTTTTTAAAAAAATTAGGATACGCGGATATGTGTTATAAAAATTTAACATAATCCATCCTCGGTCAAGAAGAAGATATATTTCATAGTTTTAAGTTTGTTTTTCTCTTTCTAAAACTCTACCATTTTATAAGATAGTTTTCTTAATAATTTATAATTAAATTTATTTAAAGTTATTAAATATAGTGAAGTTTGACTATATTGATGTATAATTTATTAGCACAATTTTACATATATTAAATCATTATCTATTTTCAATAATAGAATTAATGAAACAAAAGCTTACATGTATTATTTAATACTAGTCGCTATCTATTTTTAATAGTTAAAACATATTTGTCAACTATAACACAATTTCACATGTATTGAAAGATATAATAATATTGTGTATTTCCAATAAAACCTCTGCTTGTTAATTTTAAAAAAAAAATACATGTACGATATGCATTGGATACGTATCGCAAAATCATACAAATATATAAAATAAATAAAGAATACATATCGAAAATTTAAAAAATATAAAAATAATTAAAATAATTAAAAAATATACATATCGGATATGGATACGTAACGAGTTTACAAGTATCGGTGCTACTTAGGTGCACCAAATTATCAAAACTAAATCGACAAAAAAAAAAAGGAAGAAAGGAAAGAAAAATCTAAACATAGATCCTTTGAGGTATAAAAATTACCTCAGCAAGCAATTCAGAGTCTGTAATCCTTTCCTCTTCATCCACAACCACATTTTCTAACTTCAACTGTACGGAAGAGGTAAACAAGTTAAAAGAAGAAAAAAAAAAAAAGGAAATGCAATGTTCAACACAAGGCTACACATAAGCCAAAGGAAGAGACTGACAATCAAAACAAAGTGATAGACCAGGCGATGACAACTAATGGAGGCAGTTTAGCAAGTTTATTCTCTATCAAGAAAAACATCCACAGACCAAAACAAGAATACTGAACCACTGCATTCAACGTTTTTTTTTTTTCACATGTTCATCAAGACACCAAATTTCTTTCACAATATTCGTCATATCTTCAATTAGGATACCTCAATTGTCCCCGCATGATGAGCTTGGTTGTACAGTTGGGTATGTACAAATGACAATGATAAACGAAAACGTGGAAGATCAAAATTGTTCAACATGAACAAGATTTCTATTCTTGTTTGATAACTCAAGGGCAAACATAAACTCAGAATGGCCAATTACTAGACATCCGCAGTATCCTAACTTCTATATGGCAAAAGTGCTTGTGTAGTAATAAACACTCAACAAATGTAACTCAGCAATTTCATCATCACATGAAAAAATATAAGCTATGCAAAACGAAATATACACTTACTATATAGATTGCTCTAGACAATGGGTCTGTGAGAGTACGATATGCATCAATTACCCGAGCTGATTGTTCAGCCGCGTACTCCCTTTCTCTCTGTTCCAAAAAGAATATATATTTAATGCAGCACAAATTTTCGATATAAAGGAAATTAAACGAAGCAGTTCATAATATCAACCTGGGATTTAGAATGAACTAGATCAGGATGCAGCTTCTTTTGCCAGTCTTTGTACTTCCCCTCTAATTTATCCACTTCAATGTTGTATCTCCTTTCCCTGTGAAGGAAAAGCAAAGCTCTGGTAGTCATTTGTGAAAGAGGAAAAACTACAAGACATTTTGTTTCTGTATAGTAAATACTTTAATACCGTGCAGTTGAGGAATTGCAAAGAAGTCCATGAACCCATTTTCGTCAATAGAATAATTGCAATGAAACTTATAACAATGTTTGGCAGCTAAACTAATAAATGACGTGTTCAAAAATCACAAATAATCCATTGTAAATTTACAGGAAAACGGGTTGGAATTCAACACAAAGATTTACTAATTAAGCTCAATTACTTTACCGTGAATTTTGCCCCAAAAGACCACGTATACGACTAACTAATGAAGATACCCAAAAAAACTTACACTCCAAGAATTTGAAAATAATCAATCGAGTGATCAACGGGTTGGACGCTGCGACACGATTGACAGACCAGAAACGGCGTCGTACCATCAGCAGTGGCCTCGCAATTCCAGCACTGATGTTTTTCAGCGGATTGCGACTCCGAGCAGAAAAAGTTCTTCTTTTTAACAAATAAATTAACATTTCCGTTATAAAACCTCGGGCCTCCGAAAAATATCCCTCCGGCAGTAGGAAAAAATTGGATTTCAATTTTACGAACAAATGGAGAAGAATAAGGAGAACACGAAGCAGAAATTTGTAATAGTGGATTCAATAACGGAGCATCTTTTGGAGAATGGATTTTCACTAATTTTCTTGTGCGCAATAGAATTGTCGAGAGTGGTGTTGAAGTGTAGAGCTCCTTCTTCCACATTTTCGGGCACAGAAGAAATTCCCGGAGAGTCCCGAATTTATAGTCTGCGGTGTGAATGTTATGGTACAACTTTTAAACAGTAGCGTACAGGAAAACTGGAATTGCCCAAACTTTACATCACATTTCCATTTGACCATCAAACTTTCAATTGTTTTAAATCAGTCACCAAATTTATATTATGCTTCCCATCTGTCCCTAAATCCAATCCTCTTAGTCAAACTAACCTTTTCACATTGCACCTAACGAGGTTATCTTTCATACTATGTTTTCCATTTGTCCATAAAATAAACTATCTTTTTAACGTATCATTCTATCATTGGTAAATCGCAAAGAAAGCAAGAACACATTTAAAAGTTTTGTAAAGAGACTAGGACAATTTTGAATCGAAGTCACATTTTCTAAAGAAAACTGAGAGATATATTTCTACAATTTTATTTTTCTTGCATTCGAACTGCAAAATGCTTGTTTACATGGACAAGAAATAGTATAATAAAACTAGTATAAAAGAAGTTGGATTTCAGTTCTGGAAGCCGAAAATGCATGTGTAAATCTAGAGGTCCACCTTCAACTACAGAAGTTAGTCAGCCTTCGACTTTCCAGGAATGAACGTCAAGCAGAAATACCTCGACTTATTGTTCTTTGCTTTAGGGGTTCTCTTTTCAGCAATGTAATTAGTCTCTAAAACTGTGGCCTAGGTACTTTGATTTTTGTTGTAATATAAAGCGATGTGATTAGTCTCTAACATCGAATAATCTTCATCTGGTGAAGCTTTATGGCTAGTTTCCCCGGATCCTCTACACCTGAAATAGGAAAAGTTTCAGATGATGGACGCATTTTTAGATCGTAAATCAAGACAGTTTCTCACTCACAATAGATCAAGATAACGTTTCATGTGCAGGAAACAAGCCAAAAGGTTAATCATTTACCTTCTAATGTGAATGTTTCAAGGGCATCTAGGCCTTTTTTTTTTCTTTTTGTTTATCAAAATTCAGAGGCAAAGCTTGTAAGGATTTTTTAATCAACATATGGGTTTATATGTGTGAATAATTGTGTGTTAAATTAAAGGGTATCGAATTCGATTAAGCCCAATTAAAGTGATCTAATAAAACTTCGATTTTTGGGTTTTAATGTATCCAATTAAAGTGTGGGTTTACATATGTGTAGAGATCGGACCCGAGTCCTAATTCTATGATGGACCGAATTAGGTCAAAGGACGTTGCTATATAAATAGGTTATGGTTCCCAGATCACATGTACGTATTATTCATTCTCTACTGCATCTCATCACAGAGAGAAAAAGAAAATCGCGTGTAGATTTGAAAGACTGTACCGCGAAATTCACTATTGCATTAACCATATCTGATTCAGGTACGCTTTCACTTTAATTCTTCAATTTCTTGATGATTTAACATAAAAAAATCCGACAATTTATAATTTAGAATTTATATTTTGTTGAATTTGAAAACTTTTGCGGTATAATTTTCATTATTTTCATAATTCGGATTAATGATTGAGAAAATTTCAGATTTTGGGTTAAAAAAAATTGCAATTCTGGCTGACGACGGGTGTGTCGTCGGCGTCTGCAGCGGGCTGCTGCCTGGTTGTAGCAGCACCGAGCTGCTGCTAGTGCAGCTCCCACGCCGCAAGGGAGAATAGGGGGATTTTTCTAGGGTTTGTTCAGTTTTTGCAAGATTTGGGGCGGGGGCTTCTTCTGTAAATTAGATAATTTGAAGCCCCTGGTTACAATTAGGGTTAGGGTTATAAAATTGAAGTTTCAATTCCTAACATTTAAGTTATATTCAAGTTTGGGCTTTCAAGTTTTGGATTTGATAATTCAGTCTCTAAAGTTTAAAAATTAATTAATTTGGGTCATTAAAGTTCTGAATTTTACAATTGAAGCCCTCAAACTTTAATTATTAATTCAAATTGGCCCCCAAAGTTTATAATTAATTCAAAGTTTCACATTTTCAAAATCAATGGAATGATAATGGACTAATTGTTGGACTCAATTGTAAAATTGGTAGAATCAAAAGAAATTGAAAAATGAAAATTTTGATTTTTGCCTATGCATACGCACAAGCTTATTTTTGTGCATACACGAGATGTGTTTTGGCAAAATCAGAATTAATTTTGCTTCTACTATGCGTACGCACGGTTTATACTATGCGTAAGCATAGTGTTAAAAAATAGCTGTTGCCTGATTTTTCAATTTGAAACTTTGGAGCCGTGTTGGATTAAATTCTCAATTGACCTTACCTAATTTAGGGAAATTATTCAATCTTTGATTAAGTTCCTTATATAGTCATGTCTCAGATTCATATGTCTAGACTTTCCATTATATACCTCGTTATATGCCTTTACTAATGTGGTTTGACTATCACACATGATAGGTATTGAAGAAATATTCTTCGATCCCAAAGATAGCTCATATAAAATATCCTTAAGCCACTCAACCTCTTTTCCGGTATCCGATAAAGCTACAAATTCAGATTCCATGGTCGAGTATGTTATACATGTTTGTTTCTTTGATTTCCAAGAAACAACACCTCCTCCAAGACTGAATACCCAACCCGAAGTGGATTTATTTTCACCCGTGCTAGATATCCAACTAGCATCGGTAAATCCTTCTAATATCGCCGAAAATTTAGTATATTGTAGGCCCAAGTTCTTGGTTTTCTTTAAGTATCCAAGAACTCTCAAGAAACAACAATAGTTTCCACAAACAACGCAAAGAGAAATCTATTCCAAGTATCAAAGAAAGCAAGTGAAATGGAACTAAAGAAGAGAACAAAGGCAGCTACAGACTACAAACCGATAAAGAAACCAAAACTATAACTTTCAAACAAAAAAAGAATGACAAAAATTCATATTCTTTTGTTATAGTAGACAACGCTAGGAGTGTCTCTTATGTTACTATGACGGGAAAAAAAAAATACTGAACTCCAAATGTGCAACAACTTCAAGCTGAGTCTCAAGTTAAGACTCATCCAACAGACCAATGAGTTACTGTATTTGAGATGTAAACGTTGCTTCAAATATTTTGGCATCTTTTTTATTCTAGAAGCACGCAACTACTGTAAACTACCAGAAAAAATGATTGTACAGTCACTAGCAATAATATAAAATACTTCTTCTTTATATACATTCGATTTTGACTACCACATAAACAGTATTTACTTTATAGTTATACTTCAGTACCATTCTCTCTAATGCTTTTCACTACATTATATACATATTCCTATTGTAACATTCAACATCTTGGATGCTGCACATTGATACCAATTGAATGAGAACTAAGATCTATTTCCATCTTTCATTCAAGTTTCACATTATCAAACAACCTATACCTCTCTAGTAAATTCTTCACACATAACACACTAACATTAGTTTCGAAAAAACACAGCCCATGCATTGCACAGACCAAGGCTAGTATTTCAATAAAGTTGCAACTAAAACAATTCTTATTCTACCATGCTATACCCGATTGGCTGGTTCCCACATTAATGCAGTAATAAAGAGATAATGGATCAGATACATCATACATGTGTGTTTGTGAAGTCACCGGTGTCGGATGACATATTAGCAAAGTAATTACCAGTTCCGGAAAGCGCAGAGATTTGCCCGGAAAAATTCCCATGTAAGCGATAGTTAGTAGGGGATTTTATTTGGCAAAAATGCGTTTATTGCAAAAGTGTCACTTATATTTGAATCTTGACATTTACATCCATGCCTTTTCAGTTATTAGTGGATTCAGCCCTTGTAAAAGTCTGAAGATGTCTATTCAACGGCTCGTTAGACAGAATTCATCCAAAATGACTTAAAAATTGATGATGTGTTCCTACAAAATACATAATCTTGAGACTTTAATTACAAAATCATCAATTTCTAACAAACTTTGCCTATATTTAATTTCATTCAAAGGTTCTATTGGGACCGATGACCAATAATGCAGGAGTTGAGATTTAATAAATTTCACTTGTTGTAATTGAAGTATTGAACAAGATCACAAATAACCCAAGAACAAGATTAAAGTAAATAAAAGAAGAACTAGCAGAAGAAACAATGTTTTATTAATTCATTATGAAATGAGAGTACAATACAGCAAAAGGCTTGAACAATATTGAAAAAGGAGACACATGTGTGTGTGTATATATATATATATATATATACCACAAGTTTACACCTAAAAAGGTCCCTAAAAGGTAGAAAATCTAGCAAAATTAGGTTAAGACACTTAAATGGAGACGGGATTCTTGTTTCCTTTTCAAAATATGATTCCTTGGATACAAATTGATTCTTTCCAAGTGAAATACGCATCTTCCATAACTTCTTACCCAATTTAGAGTCACAAACCTAACAATCTCCACCTTGACTCAAAATTCTGGTGTAACGAACAAAACTCCAAAATTTCTCCACCTTGAGAAATAAGTCCGATTACATCAGAATAACCAAGCTTCTCAACACAGTAACCAAACTCTCCACAAAAACATGTTCCTCCGCTCGATGTCCACACACGACACCCGAACCTAAACCCGAGTTCCCAAAATTCCTCCTGGAATTAACAATCACTGGACAGGGTCGAAGCACACCCTGTAGCAGAAACCACACCAAATGCACAATCAGAAGGTCCATTGCCAATATTGTCACTTTCAATGATTTCTAAAGCATTATAGACATCTCCAAAACTGTACTCATGCTCCATGAGTCTATTGGTGTTACAAGAATACAGTGTACCCACTAAAATTGGTGGCAAAGTGGAATCACCAATACTCCCTTAAGCAAAGTTCTTAACTGACCCAGAGCCAAACACGAGAGCTGCTATACCAAATTGAATGTCCATCACGGTACTGAACTTGTCCAAATGTCTCTGAACTGGTTTTGCGCTTCCCTGCAAGATGTACAACTGAGATTTCCTCCGTCCCTCTAGTACAACCTAGACACCCATTCGAACCTTCAAGACTCCACCTCCACCAGAAAATTTGTAACCTTTTGCATCCAATGTACTCAGTGATATAAGATTCTTTGTCAA